CAACTGAAAATATAATAGTATATTAGCATTATAGGGAGAAAAAAAAACAACACCTTACCGTAACAGAAGGTAACCTGCTTACTTCAGATTTTGCAGGCTTAATTCAATTTTTAGTTTATTAACTATCACCTTGATTTCATTTTAGTTTAGAAATTATGTTTTATTTCTAAGTGGTCTATTAACTTTCAGATTCATTTCAATTTCGTTTACTTGGTCAAAGATAACGAAAAACTTCATATTCCGTCAGAGAACAGTTAGTCCTCTAATTATATTTTTTTTTATCTTTTAGTCTTTAAATTTATATTTGTTATAAAAACAGCTTTTACACTTAAAATTATTATTTTTAGGTTTTGATACCAGATTTTTATACTTAAAATTATCATTTCTAAGTGATTTATTAACTTTTAGGCTCTGATACCAAATTAAAGAAATGGGAAAACTCATATAAAAATCTGGTATCAGAGCCTATAAATAATAATTTTAAGTAAAAAAGCTATTTTTATAACAAATATAAATTTAATGATTAAAAGATAAAAAAAAATATAGTCAAAGGACTAACTGTTTTCTAAGAGAATAGAAGTTTTCCGTTATCTTTAACCAAGTAAACAAAATTGAAATGAATCTGAAAGTTAATAGATCACTTAGAAATAAAACATAATTTCTAGACTAAAATGAAATTAAAGTGATAATTAATAGACTAAAAACTAAATTAAGTCGATTTTGCATTAGACATGATAACTATAGAATATAGCTTTAGCTTTACAAGCCTTCAGCTTTGCCTATAGACTTTGTTAAGTATATTCACTGTGAGAGGAGCCCGTCTGCCTTCTTTTTTTTTTCCAACTGACCAATTTCTACGAAGACTTTTGGTAGGCACCCAAAGCAGACCCATTCACAAAATCATACCAGGTAAGAGGATACAAAGACCAATGAACACTAATGAAACCACCAAATGACTCGAGCATGTGAATTCACTTGACCAAAAGAAGCATGGAACATTATTTTCCAAATGATTCAAACCTCTCACAAAAGCGATCCAAGCCATCAAGAATATTGAAACAGTGCTTAGTAGTCTAGAATATAAATTAAGAAAACCAGTGTTTGATTACTACATTTATAAATCTGGAGAATTAATAAACATGATGAACAAGAGATTAAACTTACAAAGCAAGGGGAGTCATCGATGCTGAAGTTCTCCGAAGTACCTTCCACAAACAGATTTGTGAAGTACTGAACAAAACTACCACGTTCTGCCCCTACTCTTTGCTGTGGCAACTGAAAAGATTAGATATTACTGAAAATAAAAAGAAAAATGTTGATTAAGAGGTTGCCAAGAGCTTATTTTATGATAACCTACGGCACCATCAAAGGAATTTGATTAATAATCTCCTTGGTCTCAAGCCTGCCAACACGGTCAGTCATTCTATATATGTGCCAAAGTAGTTATTCAATTTTTTTCTTAAAGGAAAACATATTTTCTTATAAATGGTTCAAGTCGCATAGGATTGGCCATTTCCGGTGAATCTAGAAGCAACATGCAAGGTGTTCTTGTTTTTTATTGCAAACTCTCACCAAAGTGGCAGAAGATCAAGATGCTCCAATGTCTTCTGTCTCCTGGGGGGACCACATTTTAAACATCAAAATTCCAAATTCTGGCAAGGTAAAGATTTTATTCAAACTAAAAGCTTAAACTAGTAGATAATAGCTTTGACAGTGCACATCAAGCTACAACTCATACACTCTTACATACAGGCCCCAAGCTCACCTGGTCATAGTATCTGCAACAAACTAAAAAGAATGATAAAAAGCCAAAAACTAATTACTAAAAACAATACACAAGACTTAAACTCTAATGTCAAGTTATACAATAAATCCATGAGGTATTAAGTGAAGACTAAATAGCATAGGCCCAACACAGAAAGGATGCTAATATTTCATTATTAAATGGGGGAGATTAAAACATATTATTATATTGAAAAATTGTCCAACCTAAAGGAATAGGCTGATGGAAAATAAACTCTAGATCATGCCAATAACCATTAGACCTAAAAACCTAACCTAACAGATTACTTAAAGCTATATTTAATCTTTGGCACGTGCAAAATTGAAAAATGCTTGTCCACTTTGAGAGCATGACCAAACCATGGATTCATTACATATCTTGGGGTAAATTTTGACTTTATGATTAACAAGAAAAGTAGAGAAATTTAACACCAATTATGGGTGAATCAAGGATATAAAATTACAAGGTCAAGAAGCTCCTATACCATATACATATAGAAGAAATCATCGAATGTAAACCCTTGGGCTTAAAGTGTCTAATAATGTGGCGAATTACATGTAGCAACCTCACACAAACTAATAGTTCAATATTTTGGCACAATTACACCCAAGTTTTTAGGATTAAAAGGTTAGAGAAAATAGAGACGGTATTCACTCTACAAAATGATATTTAGTCAAAAATCTAGTGCATTACAAATTACACAGTATTAGTTGATGAGATGCATTCTATATACTTTAATTAATATTTAATTTTAGTTCTGACTCTGTTGCTATTTGAATGGATAGATGTGATTTTCAATGGATTTTACATTAAAAAAAAACTTGAATGCACACTAATAGATGGTTCTAGACTAATTGAATATCTTTTGGAAGTTGATCAGAGACTCAGTTGTGAGAGGAAAGGTTACTTTCGGAGACCTAAA